ACAGAGTTGGCAAAATCTCGCAAAGTTAGTAAAAATCCTTACATTGGTTTTGGTTTCCATGCACAAGAATAGCACATTGTATGCATGGCATGAATAAGCCCCGAAATCATGCATAGAAAGCTGTGGAGTTTGTTTTAACCATTCACAGCAAATGTGCTGACAAATTAACAGATAAAGCATGAGAATGGCATGTAATTTCACCTTTTGTATATAACCTTATACATTATATCCAAATTTCCCAAGCATGGCCTGCATGATTCTTCTCTTCCCCTTTAATTATTTTTAGAACTTATCTGACCCATATTTTTGTCCTCTTATCTTTCTCTACTGAGCCAATTCTTGGTTGGAGCTCATCAGGAAATGATGATCTTAAGAAAGATAAACTTCTAATTTATTATTATTAAAATGAATAACACATATATTAAGTTACCCTCTAAATAATGGATAAGAAAAGGCAACTTTTGTGTCATTTTCATGGGTACAAGATCATGTTTCCTTCTTCCACACAGCAATTTTTCCGTGTATAATAAACGTTAAGATGAAGCATGACATGTTTAGTTTATGCCCTTAAAAACACCATTATTTGCCATGATTCTGTCATTTGTTAAAGGCAAAAAAGCAAGTCGAAAGGGGCCTAATTAGGCAGTTTCAGGGGAGTTTTTTTCATTGTGTGGATCCCAATTCACACTAGCAGCCAGGAGCACAAAGTCATGTTTAATCATATGCTAATTAATTAAGAAACTATAAAGTTGTCCTACAATATTTCAACTGGACCTTTTAGTTGTCAGAATTGGTTTAGAACAGCACATAGTGATAGCCAAATATATAATATTAAATCAAATTGTCCTCCAATTGGCATAAAATTTGTATTATAAATTGTTCTTTCGCTAGCAGAAACATACACTGTATCAAAGATAAGTAGCAAGGATACCCCTTGTTTATCGTTTCTTTAACATGTCGTACAAACACTAAGCACACTAGTATAGTGTATGTAATAATCACCCGCACAGTACCATTTTTAAACTAATAAAAACACTGTCGTATCTGAGAAATTATAGATACAATCCATAATCAACGAGAACTTAATAAGTGTCTCTTTTTCCTTAAAAATGAGCCTTAGTTTATATGAGGTGGGGATAATTCAATAATGAATAGTATCATACTTGTTGAGATAAGGGATTAAGCGTTTAAATAAATTGATAGTACATGCACCAAATTATCAAGGGGTCTTATTGTCCAAGATGAGACTACGCATCATCATATTGTAGTCCTGGGGGGAGCTACAATTTTAGGTACCGATTCGGACGACTCCAGGAGTTTTTGCTTAAACCCTATATTCGTATTAGAAAATTCATTAAATATGTATAAATTTTTTAATTACAAATACAGTAACTAAAACGAGCTATGAATTCGATAGCAAATTCAGAATTTCAAATTCGAATTCCGTCTTTTGAGGGCATCCCACGACTAAGTGACTGTCAGCTTCATCAAATATATGATAAGAAATGTGCTTGATATGATCATCAGCAGAATAAATATACAGCTAATTAAACACTTTTACTTGCACCATCTTAATGGCTCATGATCTTGATTGGAGTCGATATTTTTTCATGGTATATTCACTAGCACTTCCTGTAGTTTTGTTTTTATCATTCATGGTAACTTCACAATGAAGAATTTATTCTCCAGATTACATTCGAAAGGGAAATAACTTTTCCTTTTGATTTACACCATATTCATGATATATATATTCTATTGCCTCGAAAACAAAAGAGTACCAGATTTTTTGTACGAACACTTGTACACCCCCCTGCCCGTACAAAAAAATGAAACAAACAAATCAATAAAGTTATATTCACCGATGGTGTAAATTCTTTTTTAACTCTATTATAAAACGTTGCTTGCTTTATTTTTAAAGTTACCAATTTTATTATGTTTATTACCTACATTCTTAAACTCTTAATTAAGCTTGGGATTGTAGTCTGGATTAAGCACCTACTATTTGTCAAACAGTCAACAAATAGTCAAAATAGTACATGTTATGTTACTACTGCATACATATTTGTAGTAAGCTTTTATCTAAACTGGATTAAAAAAGAGATGTTAATTTAATTTGAACTTATTCCTGTGAATTAGGAAATAAGTTATTAATTAGTCCTGTTGTAACTTAAATACTGCAGAGATATATTAAATGCAAAGGGAACCTTAACAAATCTAATAAAGTAAATGATTAATCAGAACAATCCCAAAGAGAATCCATATGTGCGTAGCTAATATTCGAAATTCAAAGGAGAAATCTTGGAAGAGAAGTTGGGAGAGACAAAAAAAATATGAAGAAAAAAACCATTGGTGGTCAAAGGAATATTTTTTCTTCCCTTGTCCACTTATGATATATATATATATATATATATATATATATATATATATATATATATATATATATATATATATATATATTCCCTTCGCTTTGCAGTAGTTCCTACATCATCATATCAAAATATATGGAATAATAAGAGATGCCTTCTTTCCTTATATTATGTTTATTTCTTTCTAAAAGATTATAATTTTTATATATAATCCTAACCATACACGTCCTTGGATAAAGAGGTTTTGGGTAAAATCTGTACGGATATGCGGTTTGGTTTTTCATGTCCTCCATGTGAAACACAAGTACCACTCTAGATATCTCGATTTGAATTATGAGAATGAAATAATCCCTATATATATATGGAGTATTTCTAGCCTAATAGACTCAACTTGAGATAAGATTAGTTGGTTCATTAAATTTCGAATACCAAATAATTAAATCACACACAAAAAAAAAAAGGTAGACTTGGCAAGTGAATGTTGGATCAAACTTGGTCGAATTAATAAACGGATCATGACTCAACTCGCCCAATATTTACTTGGGTCACAATAGATCAAATAACGGGTGGATCATAACATGATACAACACGTCTCCTTCTTTATTTTGCTTTTGATCTAATGTTCCTTTCTTTTAAATTATTAATTAGCTAACAATCCTAAATTTTATTTTATATGTTTGAGTAAGGCTTGCATTTTGATTCCTTTGGTTATAATATTTGAACCCAAATAGTTTAGTGAATTATTTCAAGTTCAATCGATTGGATCAAGTTTAAAAACAGGTCATAATATTTTGAACTTGGACAAATTAGGCGAATTTCTTAAAAATTGGCTAATTTTGCAACATCTAGAGTGCGTTAGTTCATGGAGGAGGTGAGAGGAGCAAAAGAGAAGAGGCTAAAGCAGGTTGCACTTATTTGGATGGGGAAAAAACAGTGAATATCCAAATCCTGAATGCATCTTTCTTTTACAGGTGGGCAAAAGGAGAAAAGCTTTATTATGGGTATAATTATAAATAAAGGAAATTATTCTACGATTATAGCTGGTAAGATTTAGATACCTACAAAAGAGGTGAACCATATCATTGTTTGTGTATTTGGGTTCTTATTCCTCAATCATTTGTTTGCTTCTACCACATTTTGTTGTTTGTTATTATCTGATAAAACCAAATACCCATAATAAAAATAACATTCCCTTTAGCAATAGAGCAAGAGAATCTTAGTAGTTTTCTTTTCCATTCAAAAGGCTATGCTTTCTAGCCAAGAATTAATAGAGCACAAAATAAAGCAAAGGCAAGAATAAAGCTGATAAAAGGGACAAGGAGGACAAGATAATTTAGCACAATTATAAGTTTATAACCAATTAGGAGAGTATAAAGCTATAATTTTGTTTATTAATAACTTATGCACTCGTATGAGGATCTTGTTTCATCAACATGGATTAGGGTATAATACTCTTAATTAATTTTAAATACATCCCAGGTTTTCCAAATTATTCTTTGTACACTCTTTAGTCTTTGTCTGGGCTAATGCTCCAGAACGATAAATAATTAGATTTTAATGCTACTTTTATCCTTTTAACTTCCTTTTGAAAATTGACGTATTTTATAGTAGCTGCAAATTTTACGCGGATATAAACCACAAACTTTTAGATTCGTTTGCTTTCTATCATTTTAAAAAAAAAAAAAAAAATTGCATTTCGGATAACAACGATCGGTTCTCTGCATAAAACACTAAATAAACTTTGTTAAGATCACATAAATGACAAAATTACCCTTCAAGTAGCGATGTCTCTTGTTTTACATACTGAATTAAGAATGTCATTAAATATCATAAAAGGTTTCATTTTAAAGTAAAATTGTGCCTGCGTACTAATTAATAGTGCTAATATAATATTCTCAACTTTGGAGTACAAAACGATCTTACATATAATTATATTTACACATAAAACAATTCATGTATTACTAATCGTCAACTAAATTAAAAGAGTCCTTGGTCTTGTGGTTTGTTTCTTGGATTCTCTTAAGCTTCTTTTTCTACTCCAGCATCCACACCCTAATATTATGTTGTCTACTATACCAATTACTGCTAGTACAGGCCACTAATCCACATGATACTGAGAAATTGAAAGGTTTTCCTAATTCCGGAAAGAGACGATTATCAGAACCTTAATTATCCGTGACAATTATGCACCATTGAAGTTGGCAATACCATAAGTATTCATCAGTTACTTAAAACGGTTGTCTAATAATTAATTAGCTTTGCTCTTCATTATTAACGGTCATAATACGAAACGCCATGAAGTAGTTTTCGCCCCATGTCCTAAACGTAGATCAAGACAAGGCATGGATCAGGAGAAGATCCCCAATTTTTACAAGTGTTGACTACTAATTAAGGGGGACAGATAGCCTAACATGGAATAGGAAAAAAGAAAGGCCATTTATATTATATTTGCATGCTACTGTTTACCCAAAAATGGAAAAGCTTACAGTAAAAAGGATATATAAAGCAATTAAATTATTCACACATTATGTTCACATGTAATATTAGGTCAAGTTGCACAAGGACAACACTTGTCTTCAACATATATTGTTAAGCTTATTTTTGGCATAAAGAGCAAATAGACATCTATCGAAATATAATGAAACATAGAACTTATATTGCTTTGGATATGTAGAATGGAAGCTGTGTACAATGCATGTTGAAAGTCTAATAGACCACACCAAAGCCAACAACAAATTCCTAACATAGAGGACTAAAATCCTTGTAAGTGAACCTTACCACTAGTTAGCCTATCTTCCCTAAAGACAACTTAAAAATACTAAATGCTATTATAGCATAATCTTATAAACAAGTCTGATCACCCCGTCTAAAGATCCAAAAACTAGGCTGAGATCAAGGAATACTAGCAGGCTAATTATAAAATTCCAAAAACATACAAATCCACCAAAATTACTTTTAACGACCCCTAGAAGCAGCCTTGCAAACCAAAGGATGAGTCATTTCCATAGACAACTTCAGACACTCGGACAAATCCACACCATTATCAGAAGCAACCCATTTGAATTCTTGAAGTAACTGAGCCAACCAAAGCTGAACAGTAGCAAGTCCCATTGCCTTTCCAGGGCATACCCTACGGCCAGAGCCAAATGGTGCAAGCCTAAGATCAGAACCCATAATAGCTATTTCTTCTTCCAAGAACCTTTGTGGCATAAATTCTCCGGCTTGTGACCAAATCTTGTCGTCATGAGTAATAGCCCACATGTTGACCATGGCCGTAGTTCCAGCCGGGATGAAGTGCTGACCAACGTGGGTGTCATGAATGGCAAGCCTTGCCCATGAAAGCAAGGGACCCGGGGGATGCATTCTGAGAGTCTCTTTCACTATAGCTTGAAGATAAGGCAGATTAGGCAAGTCAGAATCACATACACCTCTATCTTTTCCAACAACAGCGTCAATTTCACGTTGAGCTTTGGCTTGAATATCAGGATGTAGTACCATCCTAGCAAGAATCCACTCAAGCAGGATAGCCACAGTATCGGTCCCCCTAAAGATCATTTCCTGATGAAGTAATACGATTTAATTCCACAAACAATAAACATACTAAAAGCATTATGAAACCAATCGTTACGACTTACAAAAATATAGTAAAAACAGTTTGAAATAAAGAAAAACAGGAGAAGAATATCAGCACTGTCCCTATCATGCAAAGCTAAAGTTAAAATTATTCAGATTCTTCATCTCAAAAATACAAGGAGACAATTTAACAGTTAAATTTGAGCATATATGCAGGAGACTCAGCTATTAAACAACGGAAGATAGCAACGCGAGATACTGCAATACAGAAAAACTTTACACGCCCAAAACATCCGAAAGAGAGAAGCACCTAAAAACCGAACATCAACTACTTGTTTGACACGTTCTTGTACTCACTTTTAACGTCTTATCCCACATGAGCATTAACAATCATGTAAGAATGTATACTAGAAGTAGAGAAAACCATACAACTATAGAATATATACAAAACAAAATTATATAAAACAATGAAATCATCATATGTAGAATTAGGTCACATATATAAGAAAAATTACCCAAAGAACAGCAATCATGTCCGAATCACCGAGTTTATTTTCCTTCTCCAGATCAAGCAAGACATCAACAAAGTCACTCAAACCTTCATCAGCAACTTTTCCAGCATTCTCAGCCCTCTTAAACCTGTGTTCCTCTACTATCTTTCCTACAAAAATATTCACACGCGCAACAAGCTCTTTGCACCTTTTTCTTACCCCTTGCAAGTCTAGCCACCCCAACAAAGGAAAATGGTCACTCCAGTTAAATATGCCCAGCAACTCATATCCTTCACTCACCAAATACTCCAACTCCAACCCATCTTGTCCATTAAAATCATAACATTTTCCAAAAACAGTCCTCATCACATTGTTCAGTGATCCAAAATGCAAAACCCTCTTCACTTCAACATGTCCATTTATCTCCATCAAACTGGCAATATCAGTCACCATCTTCGTACCTATATCTCTCCTAAACTCCCCGAAGCAGGCTATTCTTTTAGGACTGAACAAATGGGTGGCTGAAATTCTCCTGAGGTTCCTCCAGTACTCTCCATAAGGCGCAAAACCCATCGCCCTGTGAAACAGAAGCTCGTAAGCAGACTCTTTCACTGGCCTGTCAGCAAAAGCTGAGCTGTTCAGTATTTCCTTAGCAGTCTCTGGCTTACTAGACATTATAAAACGAGTAAACCCAACTGAAAAAGCCATTAAAGATTCTGCCTTCAGATTATCAGCGAGCTTGGCTAGGAGTCTGTGAGTTAGAGAGCCAGTGAAAGTTAAGACAAGCCCAAGAACAGGTAAACCCGAAGGTCCAGGAATGGATACACGGGTCTTAGAAAAAGCCCAAGCAAGTCCACCAGGCCTAAGCCAGAAGGCGAAGACAGCAAGAAAGAGAAAAAAGAAGAGAAGAAGCTCATAGTTGAGGACAGCTGTGGAGGGAATGAAGAGCAGAGAGCATTCAGAATACATTTCTGATCTTCAAAGATTGAGTTGTTTCTTTTGTTTTTGCAGGTGGTGAGTAGTTACGGTGTGTTACTGGTTCAGAGAGAGAGAGAGAGCGCGAGAGAGAGGGGGATGGTGGAGAGAAGGTGGCAGTGGAGGTGTGGAGAAGACCAAGAGCGTGAGACAACGGTTAAATAGAGGAGTTATAAGAAAATTATTTAATATTATTTTTTTATATATATCCTATAGTACTAGAAAAGGAAATAAATAAATTATTTATATGGAGAATGATTAGTATTCTCTCTATTCATTTTTACTTGTCCATTTTAAATTTCACAGTCCTTAATAAATAATAATTAGAGTATGCATTTTACTATATAACCACTAATAATATTAGCATTTCAAAGAGTTTTGGGAAATAATTTTGGAAATATATAACTAATGTTAAGGGTAAAATAAGAAAAAATATTATCTTTCTCATTATATACTAAAATGAACAAGTAAAAGTAAAAATATATTTTTAACATTGTAGACAAATAAAAGTAAACAGAGTGAATAATAATAATTGTGTTTTCTAAAAACCTACTCCTATAAGAGCATACTAATTATATATCCTTATAAAAAAATCTACAATTCTTTTGTTCCTAAAAGAAATTTAAATCCGTTTGTTCCTGGTTCATAACATTTCCGAAAACTGTCAACCCTTTGGCTTCCTCTTTAATAAGAATACTTAAAAGATTTTAATTTATTGAGAAAATCGAAGTAATCTTTCTTTTTACCCAAGTATAGTGCATCATCTAGGGGCAAAATTGACTTTTAGGTTTCGATGAATGATTTATGACTACTTTTAGGTATGAACGGTCAGTGATGATTTAATTGGACACAACAGTTACTCCCAATAAAATTAATTATACTCACACCCCTTCTCGAAAGTAATATTTTTTCTCATCCACTTTAATTATTTTTTAATTATTTTTGTTGTCCATAATATTTAATTTTTTAAAATAAAAAAAAATTAATTGTTTTTTCGAAATTGTCTTTGGAGTAAAAAGTCAAGGAGTATTTATTATATTTTTAATTAATAAATTAAGATTAAAGTAATAAGTTTATTATTAATTAATGCTAAAAGATGTATTTTTCTAATATATGTGAAAAAAGCTAAAAAAATCAATAATTGACCGGAGGGAGTATGGTTTTTTCTCTTCCAAACACATAATTTTATTGGTAACAAATTTTTTTGTTAATATACTTCAGCCAAGTGCAATATCGATTAAGTTGTTTTATAATCCTATTGTTGCCATTAAATTTCTCTCTTGGAGACTCTCTATCATTCCAGAGAATACAAGGGTATCGATTTTTGTATTAGGAAGGCCCCTCTCAGAGATAAACAAAATTCCTCCACTTTATATCTTTAATGAAATTTTTTTGGTGGTATATTTCTTTTGAAGCACATAACATTTTAAGAGGACAATATACAGCCAGATATAGAATAGGCAAAACGAATGAACGCAAAAAGAAAAAAGGAATAAGTTACTACTCCATCATGCAGGAGGGGAGAGTTTTTACTTTTTTATTTTCTTGTCATTTAGACTCCAAACTAACAAATGAAAAGGCAAAAGCAAGAAAAACAAATGAAGGTAAATGACTTTATAACTCAACTATTTCTATTGACTTTATACTAAATTAAAGAGAGGCAGACCCTCGACAGTGGTAATTGGACTTGTTCATAATTTCTGAAAATGGTTAGGCAATATTAACTCATATTACAAAATTCATCTTTGAATGTGTGCATGTGTGCTGCATATTTGAACTAGTTTTACAATGGTTGAAATGAGAAAACTAGTTCTTGAATGCTTTTCTTGGAGCAAACAAATTGTCACGGGCTGTGTTACTTAGCTTAAATTGTTCTCTTTCTTTCTTTTGGATGGTTACATTAATTATTTTTGGTGTGCTTCTTGTGACCTGTCGTTAAAAATGAGTAGCATGTATTTTGATATTATTAAGAATATTTATAAAAAGTTCCCTACTTTTATGTTTATCTTTATAGAGCCATTGATTTCATACAAATGATATACTGTACAGATTAACATTATTAGCAGTTTAAATCTAAAGATGCTCTATTTTTCTTGAGGATGTTCTCAATTATCTTTTCTCTTTTTCGGGGTTACATTACTGAATTAAACGGTCAATAGTTCACGTGGTTGTGAGAGGAATGGAAAAGCAATTTGGTATTTATAGGATTTTTAACTAATAATCCCCTATTTTCTTATCTTCCTCAAATTTCGAACTTATTACTAAAATCAATCAAATTCTGCATGACAAATTAGAGAATATCTATTCCGGTCACGCGATTCTTCTAAAACCATAACCAACAAGATAATTCACTTTACTTTAAATTTGTCAAAACCGTGATAACCTAGGAAATAAAATTAATCTTATACAATTTGAAATTACGGTATTTTATTGGGAACAAAAATGTATTAAATGTTAATTTTCTTTGTATAATTGGTGAGAAAATTTTTTAAATAATTGTTAGTAAGTACGTTAGATTGGAAGAGAAACATCAAAGCAGCATAAAACTTTAATATTTTAATAAAAATATATTTTTTGACATCGTAAATATGAAAATAAGTGATGTCGAAAAATGTGAACGATAAAAGAATAAAGAAAAACAATAAAAACGTTAAGAATACGCCGGCACAGTATAGGACACGAGGAGGGGTAAATGGAAGTGAGGAAAGAAGCAGGAAGTGCATGCGTTTGCTATTCTTTCATCTCAGTAACGGCGCCGCCTTCCTAAACTGATGGGAAGTTCCGGGTTTCGTGCCTTCCGTTTCTTAATGCTCCACTTAATTGTATGAATTGAATTTGCTTACTTCTAATTGTGCATGTTTAATAGTATTAATACAGAGTACTAGGTATACTTATTACTCCTTATTTTATGTGAAACTAGGCACGGATTCCAGGATATTTGTATACGGTCAAAATCGGAGAGCTCGATTTTGGAGACTTGATTACATTCCGAGCCCGGGTTCGGGGAACTCGAGGTGCGAATCAAGCCAGGCCCGGGTAAGCATATCTCGAGAAGTAAATCGAGGATACGTCATGATCTGCCTCGAGGGCAGTACAATTTCGAGGGCACTCAAGAAATAGCGGGAATTTCCAAGAACACGTGGGTCAGGACTTAAATTATAGGATAAGATTTGTACAAAATAGTACAAATTCGCACTAGGTTGTTATACAGCTGTACTAATAGGATTCTTTATCATAATTGAAAATGTACCATATTAGGGTTTTCTCCTCCTATATAAAGGGGACCCCAATAATTTGTAAGGATATCTAATTTACTGCAATAGGACATTCCACTCTGCTTTTCTTGTTTACCGTGCTCAACATTTGTTCTTCAGCTTTATTGTCTTTACTTTATTGTTCATACTTTATTATTCTTAGCTGACCTCGAGTTCCCTGGGATAATCAAGCTCGAGGCCCCTATTGCTCCAACAACACTGATTTAGTTCACCAACTCTTCTTACTTAAGCCTAATATTACTTGTATAATCACTAGTATTAGAGTATATCATATATCTTTAAAATCACAAATTATCTTTAATTGTTACTCACATTTTTCGAGGTAAACAGTTTGGCGCCCGCCGTGGGGCTAAAGATAATAGTGATTATTTTAGTGCTAGTTTTCTGATAACACACGTTATTCTTCACACTTTTTCTTGTCAAAGATTTTTTGATTTTAGGCCGAAATATGTCTAGCACACAAAACGCACCTGCTCACGATAGTGAGGGACTCGGAGAAAATAGCGGTATAGGGGTCGGTGTAACACCCATAAACCCTGAGGGAGTGCCAAACGTGGAGCCAGTTGATATCAGTTCGCACAACGCTCTAAACACGGATGCAGGCACAGACCCCGTAAGGAATGCACACAGGGAAGCTCGAGCCGGAGGCCAGGAAACACGAGGAATGGAAGAAGGAGGAGTCAGCCTCCAAGTGATATTCGAGATGCTGCAAGCTCAGCAAGTCGCCATCGCTCAACTTCAGAGTTAGAACAGAACCCCAAACACCGCCGAACCAGTAAACGTTGAACTAGTTAGAAAGGCCTGATGAAAGCGGCTCGGGGACTAACCCCACAATCTTGAAAATGCTCGAAGAACTAACAAAAAGGATCGAGTCAGGAGAAAAAAAGATAGAAGACAACGATAAGAAGGTGGAAACTTATAACCCCCGCGTAGACCAGATACCGGGAGCACCTCCAGTTTTGAAAGGTCTAGATGCCAAAAAATTCATACAAAAACCTTTCCCCCCAAGTGCGGCTCCAATGCCCATTTCCAAGAAGTTTCGCATGCCCGATATACCGAAATATAATGGAATAACTGACCCTAACGAACATATTACTTCATACACTTGTGGAATCAAAGGAAATGACTTGAATGACGATGAAATCGAGTTAGTATTATTGAAAAAGTTTGGGAAAACACTATCAAAAGGAGATATGATCTGGTATACAACTTAGCTCCTAACACTATTGGTTCATTTTCCATGTTGGTGGACGCTTTCGTGAAAGCATACGCTGGAGCCATAAAGGTGGCCACTAGAAAATCGGATGTCTTCAAAATAAAACAAAGGGATGACGAGATGCTAAGGGAGTTCGTGTCCCAGTTTCAGATGGAAAGAATGGAAGTTTATATTGATGACATGTTGGTTAAGTCCCTGCGCGCAGAGGACCATTTGACCCATTTGCAGGTAACGTTTGATATCCTAAGAAAGTACAACATGAAGCTCAACCCCGAGAAATGCGCTTTTGGAGTCGGCTATGGCAAGTTCTTGGGCTTCATGGTGTCGAACAGGGGTATCGAGATCAACCCCGATAAAATCAAAGCCATCGAGGAAATCACCGTAGTCAACAATGTGAAAGATGTGCAACGGCTGACCGGACGGATAGCTGCCCTGGGCCGATTTATCTCGAGGTCATCAGATCGGAGACATCATTTCTTTTCCCTGATCAAGAAGAAGAACAACTTCGCATGGACTCCGGAGTGCCAACGAGCCTTGGAAGAATTAAAATGGTATCTCTCGAGCCCGCCCCTGCTCCATACTCCGAAGGAGGATGAAACACTCTACTTGTATCTAGCCGTGCCTGAGGTAGCGGTAAGCGGCATTTTGG